GTTGCAATGGTGCACGGTACGAAGGACTAGGCTTCACCCGATGACAACCCTCGCAAGAACGTATGTACTTGCTACAAACTGATACTGGCGGGGCCAGTAAAAGTCGCGACTTACCGTGAGGTAAGTCTTTTCTCTACCACGATGGCCGCCTTTTGGGGCATCGTGACACTCATACATGATGCGTAAACGCAAATCATAATGAGCGGGTACGACGACAAGAGGCGTGACGTCGGCAACTGCTCTATAGTACAGCAATCCGTTGCGTGTACTATACCGATCCGATGAGGATCGGTACAAAGCCGGTATATCCCTCATGGATTTACTGGATGGATTCACCAGATGATTCATCAATCGCAGAAGATAAGGATCTTCCGCGTATGCCTTTCGTACGTCGTCAAGTAATCTTGAAGACGGGACACTGACTGACAGTGTCGCAACAGTGGGCTTATCCCCACTGTTGAATTGTGCGTCCGGCTCGAAATCGGGCCGGCGCGAGAGCGCATCAGCAAAGACATTGAGTCGTCCCGGTTTATACTCCACGGATAAGTTATACTCCGCGAAGAAAGACAGCCACCTCGCCATCCTTTGCGAGAGGTGCGGGCTGTTTACGGCCGTGCGTATGACGCATGGTCCTTATATACAACAAACGGTCTATCTCCCAAGAGATAGACCCGGAACTTAGCCAGTTCATACTTCATGGCAAGTAGTTCCTTGTCATGCACTGGGTAATTACGCTCAGCTGCTTGCAGCTGACGCTACTGATAACAGATGACGCGCTCCGCGCCATCTGCATCGAACTGCATTAACGCACAGCCGATTGCGAAATCGCTGGCGTCATAGACCACATGAAATGGTCTGTCCTGATCTGCAATTGCCAATATGGGCAATTGCATCAAGCTTTGCTTGATACCTTCAAAGGAACGCTGGAACTCAGCGTTCCATGACCACTTGACACTTTTCTTCAGCAAGCAAGAAAGATGAACAGTCATCTCGGCGTAGTTGCGCGAGTACTTGTGCAAGTACGCCGCTATACCAAGGAACTTCCTTAGCCCCTTGACATCGACTGGCACTGGCCAGTCGGAGATCGCCTTGATCTTTTCGGGATCCGGGCGTACGCCGTGTTTACCCACGATGCACCCAAGAAGTGGTATTTCGATAGCCGCGAAGATACACTTCTTGAGGTTGGCGTACAACCTATACTTGCGCATAAGTTGAAGAACCTGACGAACGTGAGTTCTGTGAACTTCAACGTCCGTCTTTCCGTCCAGAGCCCGGCTATGGACGAACACATCGTCAAAGTAACTCGGTGCGAAGTCTCGCAACGGTCTCAACAGATTTGTAACACATCTTTTGAATGTTGCAGGGGCATTACTCAGCCTCTGTGGCATCACTAGCCACTCCCACAGCATCCCGCTGGGGGTACTCACTGCCGTGAACGGGATGTCCCGTTCACGCATGAGGATCTGATAGTATCCATCCATCAGATCCATGGACGAAAAGATGGTACTCTTTGACATACCATCTATGATTACGTCCTTCCTCGGTATTGGCGTCTGAGTCGGTACCGTTGCAGCATTCAATTTGTTGAATGCGTGCAATATCCGCCACCCTCCTGTGGCCTTTCGCACACAGAAGGTTGGAGAAATGTGAGTTGAATTCAATTCCCTTACATGGCCCGCTGCAAAGCGATCTGCAAAGAACTTGTCGATTGCTAGTACTTGTTCACGAGGCAGTGGCCACTGCTTCATGACACAGTACTTCGAGCCCGGTTTGAGCTCGATCTCGTGTCGAGTGCCTTTGTCCTTAGGCAACTCGCAAGGTACGGATTCAGGGAATACATCCCTGAATTCGATCAAATCCTTATACAAAGGTTTTGCCTGAAGTGACCCCCAGGATTGAGACGTGTATCGCTCAATCTGAGTCTTCTCATCGAGGACACTTTCGTCCATCAATGAGCTGCTGAGAACCCGTTCGTTCTCAGCAAATACTGTTGCCGACCGAATGTTGGTCACATACTCATCCTCTGTGACGAGTATGCAGATCTGCTTGACTTTGCCACTACGCAGATCACGCAAGAACAGTTTCGGTTCTAGCGTTGGCAACTGAGTTATCTCCGAAGTTAACTTCGGAGGCACAATCATATCAAGCGTATAAGCGCCTACGCTTGATCCGTCATTAACCAAGACGTTCAACGTCTCGGTTTCTTCCTGGGAACTTGCTTCCACAGGTTGCTGAGGGCCTGATCCCTCAGCAAGTGACTCTTGAGGAATTTCTTCCTCAAGTACGTGGGGACTTATTCCCTCGACGTCTTCCGACCGTGGCTGTGCAACCACAGTCAGGCACCGATTCTCTACGGTCGACTCTCCAGTCGACTTAGGATCTCCATGTTGCCCCTTGGGGGCAACATGTTTCTTTCTTCTAATATGCTGCCCGCTAGGCATGCATCCATGTCCCGGTCCACTCGACTTATTCGAGTGGTGGACCTTCGGTGCAGCCTGTACTCCTGTACAGCCGCCGGGAGCTTGCTCCACAGTGTAGTGATCAACTACACTGTGATCTTGTGCAGTCGTGCTAACGACCGTACCGCAAGTGAGGCCATCGCACTCACTCGCAGAACATCCACACGCTTGTGGACGCTTCAAGATGTCCATCAGATGGCCATCTGATGAACAAGCGTCAGGCATCTTTACAGATCGATGTTGCCAGATCACTCTTGGCTCGTACCTTCTGAGCCAAGGTAATCCCAGGATGACCTCAAACTCGTCATCCAGATCCAGTACGATGAAGTCATCATCGTACTGTTCGCCTTTTAACGTGTAGTGGATTCCTACTACACGTTTCTCAACGGTAATCGATGCGCCTGTGGCAAGGTGCACCTTCATTCTCATTAAAGGAATGTCGCGCTCAACGAACCTGAGCCTATAACCCTCTAGTGACTGACTACGGACAAGGTTGTTCGACGCCCCACATTCAACTAGAGCACGAAGTGACATATTGTTTGTCACTTCTAACTTCAAGGTGATGAGTGATATCTCATCACCAGGTGCAGAGACACACAATTATTGTGTATCTGGAGCAACTTTTGTCAAGAGATTTGCAAAAAATCTCGAGAGGTATCTAGATCAGTAGGGCGCTCCGCCCCTACTAACCCCGACCATTTTTTGATGGTCCGTCTCGCTGTTGCGGCTTCGCAACAGCGCTGGACCCACGCCCATTGCCCTTTCTGGCAAATGGTCGTCCATTTCGCTCAGTACTCTTTGGTTCTGGGCGTGGAGCACTACACTCGTATGCGTAGTGCCCTAACTTCTGACAGCGATTGCACTTCTGCATTCTCTTGTTGTTTGAAGAGCGAGGTCTCTCGCTCTCAACATAACAGAGATTCATTGATTCTATACCTCCGATCTCTTGTCGTCTCGGTGGACGGTAAGAGTTTGAGCTAGCATGATCCTGTCTCATGCGTAAGTCCTCCAGGTCCACTGCTAAGTTAGTATCTTCTAGGTGTCCAACTCTAGGCGGAACACGTAATTCCTGGCGGGCCCGTCTGCGAGTCTTGCATGAACACCGTAATCAACGTGTGTTCATGAACTGGGTTAGCACTTATACTACTCGCGAGGAGTCGTATATGTTGTGCGTTAGCGTGCATATCACGCTTACCCTGCTTGATTTTCAGGAGCTCTGAACGAGCCCTGAACTCAGCCCGTGGAGTCTCAAACGTTATTCTGAGCCGGGTTATAAAATATTCGAGCGACTCCAAAGCATATGGGTCGCTCATCTCCAGCCGTAAGGCCCTAGTCTTGGCACGCCCTGCCAAGTGGATTTGAGCAAATGTGAGTTTCATTCGCTCATCGTCGATGCACGGTGCCCGTATGGCTCTGTCGAGTTCGACGAACCATAACAACAGGGAGTCTTCCTCGACTCTTCTGATCTTGGAGATGTCAACTTTAAGATTTCGGGACGACGCGCATGTGTCGTCCCGCTCATGGTAGCATTAAATTGCTGCTTTCTCAACAGCTCCGTCTGTTGAGCACCGAGTTCTCTCAACTGATCGGCCTGTTGAGAGCCTTGCTGGTGAAGCAAGGCTATTTTCTCCCTTTTGGCGACAAGTTCATTTTGAATGAACTTGGATATAGGGGCATGTTGTTGGTCTCTGTCTAGAGACTCCAAGATGGCGCTAATGGCGAACTCGCCTACGGTAGAACTCATTCGTTCTACCGCACTCCATTCGATGTCACTCAAATGGGTTACCCTTCACGCGTGGCGTGAAAGGTCTCTTCATCATCCATCATGTTCATGTTGGATGCTGTGGTCCTTGGAAGGACTACAAAGTGCTACCAGGTATAACGGGGCACACCCTTGCGTGAACTTAACGCAAGGGTTTAGGTGCCCCGACAGACTTGCACAAGGCAAACGAGGAAGCGTAGATAAGGGAAAAGTATAACTGTTATATTCATATAACTAAGTCTTTTGTTACTGTCTCTCTGTTTGACTTAACTTAATTTTGCTAATCTAACTGAGTGTATGGTGACGTCTCGTCACCACTCATTGCGCGCGTCCTGCGGCAATTGGTGGGTTGATATCATCAAGATATCAACCAATGAGCAGACCCTTTGATCGCTTCATAATTTCACCACTATCGGTGATATTGTTCAAAGAATATTCAACATAATATTCTTTATTGTCATTATCTCTAGAATGACAATGTCCATGTAACGGGCTGCCCCGTTGCATCCGTGGACTATTGTTGCTCTCTCCTGTGTAGTGATATGTGTAGGTGCTGGCATCGAGGCGTTTCCTGCGGTGCTCGAGTGAGAGTGATAGACTTGCACGTCCCAATGAGAGTGAGCAGCTCAGGCGATAAAGAGCTTTAAAGTTACAAGATAGAAGAAATGGTCAACATGTCTGATGATGCGAGGATCGTGTGTATCATCAGCTTACGATGCAAGTTATCGCGAACAACACACCTTGACTAACACTGCGAAGTACGAGATGAGGTCAAGAGACTACGGGCCCACATTCTTCTTCTTGTACTTGTCGTTCAATTTGCGCAGAGGGTTAGGCTGTTTCTTGGTTTGGTAGTTGGCGAGCAACTTCTTATGGTACTTCATCTTCTTTGGTCGTTTCATCCTGTCGATGCTACTCTTCAGCGCATTGTGTGGAGGACCTACCGCCTCAACGTAATTAATTGGTTTAGCCTCAACGTAGTTGATTGGTATAGCCCTTACAAAGGCAAGGTTTTCGACGTCGACCTTGTCTTTCAATTTCAACTCGTCTTTTACGAATTTGACCACGCCCATGTCCTTGTGCGACAGCTCGATTAATGGACCGACGTCTAGACCAACGCCTGCTTGTTCAGAAGCGCTTGCCTCCCCTCTCAGCAATCGGGATTCCGATGGGTACACGAAATGAGTGTCCGACACCTGGGAATCCACTGCAGCAGCCCGAGACGAAGTGCTCCCGTGTTGTCCCACAGCTGCCGCTAGTTCAGGATCGACGTCCATGGCGTGGAGGACAGCAACCAAGTAGACAGCGATGTTGAGCGGGCGCATGGTGATGATCAGGCGCCGGTGTTGACGGGTTCCAATTCGAGAATGACCAAAACCTACGACCGCGTACACTTGGCTCGTGCCTTTCGGTATCCCGAAAGCAGGCGAGAGATAGAGGCAACGATGAGTACTGATGCAGCACAACAAATCGATCGAGATTGGTTTGCTTGTTCAGACACGAGTGTATTGAATTTTCAAATGATTTTCGAAAGAACGATCCGGTCCTGGAGAGTTCTTCGACGTGCTTCGCCGTATGTACGCTAGCTTTTCGTCATGGTCGTGCACGCACGTTCATCTTTTGCACTATATAAGGGGTGAGTAGCTCTTCGACGCCGATCTTTTAAAAGTCGGCTTGGAGCTAGGAGCTGCAGCGAAGCTAACGTTTACGACGCAATGAGCAGTTCTGTATGATTGATCAGCGGGGGTTATTTCGACAGCTTGCAGCTGCGACAAATGTATGCGCATTTCGACAGAGTGTCACACGTGGGGCCCTGATTCTGGTCCGCAGGACTACTCAGAATATTCAGCTTCTATGTATACCCCCCTTATTTACACCGAGTGTTTTGGAGACATAAATGCCACAAACATATTGAAGCTGCAACTAGAAATACTGTCGCGACATGCTTTAATGCACGCGGACAGTTCTCACAGCCCTTCTACTATGATCCCGCTGCTTTGTCTACTGCGACAGCCACGCGTTTGTCCGCCTTTCGCAGCCGCTGATGGCTATAGGATGGTCCAGAACTACCGGCGCACGCAGACGCGGGTAGAAAGTCGCTAGCTGATCTGCCAACGGAAACTGACGTGGACTGGAAATATCCGCGTCTGATTTGTAGACAAAAGTCAGGCGACGTGCTCGCGTGCTCTCGAAAGACGGCATGTCTACGTACCCAGCTGCTATCGCGATGACGTTATAGACGTCGTCAATGTGTAATGAAACGGAGTACAATATGCCTGCACTGGCACCGTACGACCTACCTACACCGATACAGTGTGGGCATGTGCCTAGGTCTTCTCTTGCACTACTGTACGTGCAGAGGAAGGCTGGATCTCCTGAACGAACACGTTGAGAAGAAGGAAAAAGCAGAAGTGCATTGAATATGGCTTACGGTTTCTGATTAAACCTCTTTGATGAACTTGCCTGAACAATGATAACGATAGCCTCCTTATGTAGCAACTCCTTCAGCACCATCGCGCGCGTCTAGCAGCGATTATGGGTAATGGATCCGGTTGACATAATGGACTATATCAAGCAATGAGTGGAACAATGCTGAATACCACCTGTAAAAGTATTTTCCGTCGGTATTTCCTCCGTACAATAAATATTGGTGAATGTTGTCACTGAAGATAATGCTCGCATTGACACAATGTGGTGTCAATGAGTACCTGTAACGGGCTCACCCCGATACAGATGTACCACCTACGTGGACGTCAAGCCAGCATGAAAGGGGCAGCATCAACAACATCGTATCGCTGGCTGACCGACCAGAAATTTCAGTTCAACTTTCTAATGACGCCCGTTTTCATCAGCGGATCCTTCTCCTGTGCTTTATTCACATGTGGATCCCGTGCATCGGGTGGAACCCTTGGCAGCTTTACCAAGAGCGTTGCTTGACTTTGTGTCAGTGCCTGACGATCGCTTGATTTCTCCCGCTGCTAATAATGGGCTGATGGTTGACGTCACTGAGACTGAAGTCCTTCACGCCATCACCGAGCTTAGCCGTCACAAAGCTTCAGGGCCGGACGGTCTTAACAATGACTTCTACAAAGATACGTCCGCTTTACTGGCTCCGGCGCTGGTGCACGTGTGCAATCAAATATTGCACGGTTCTCCTATGCCACCTTCCTTTCTAGAAGCGATGATTATCCCTCTTCGGAAAAAGGGTGATTCGCCGGACGCACTTGACTACAGGCCGATCTCTCTGCTCCAAACCAGCTACAAAATTTTTGCGAAAGTGCTGGCCTCCCGACTACAGCGCGTCTTACCTACACTCATCGGGGAATCGCAACAAGGTTTTGTTCGAGGTAGACAAATGCAAAAACTGGTCATGATGATGACTGCCCAACTCGCTTCAGCGGAGGAGAGGGCGGATCTATCAGCCGATTTAAGCCGATCTATTCTCTTACTTGACTTTCGCAAGGCGTACGACACTGTGGACCGAGATTTTCTATACGCGGCATTACGAAGCTTTCAGTTTGACGAAGTGTTTATTACGCTCGTCACCCGGATGCATACCGGAACAACCGCTCGGTTTCTGGTGAATGGGGAACTTTCTGAACCAGTTCCTGTCCGGTCCGGAATACGTCAGGGGTGTCCTCTCGCACCGCTTTTATTTCTACTTGTGGTGGAATTACTTGGGCTGGCTATTCACCAGGCGCCCTCCATCCGGGGTATTCCGGTGCCCGGGGCCTGCGAGGTGGTGCATACATTCTCCGCGTTTGTGGACGACTCCACCATATTCCTTGAGCATGCCAATCAGTTGGCGCCTGCGTTGGAGCTCGTCTCTAGATTTGGACAACTCTCGGGCCTTCATGTCCAGCCTGCCAAGAGCAAATTGATTTTTTTAAACACGGCTATCAGGCTACACCAATATGGTGGCATCTCAGTCTTAAAACACAGAGAGACAACGCGATACCTGGGGTACGAAGTGGGGACAGGGGCATTACTCGATCGAAACTGGGCGCTTCGGCTTCAGAAAATCCGTCGGCGGCTTCTCACTGCAGCGAAAGTAGCGACTAGTGTGCAAAATCGTGTCCTCATACTCAACGCGATCATTGTACCGGCTATCCTGCTCACCGCGGCCGTCTTCGATGTGCCGAGCTGGGCGAGAACGGAGATATCTCGGCTGTACCGCCAATTCCTGTGGGCGCACGCTTCTGTGCCTGCCGTACGTCGGCACAAAATTAACCCGGGTCTCCTCTTTACGCCCCAGAAGGCAGGCGGGGTTGGTCTGGCCTCGTTCGAAGTAGCCGTCAAAACTCAGCGGACGAAGCACGCGTTGCGTTGGCTAACGCAGCCGCATGACAAATATTTTACAGCGTGGCGGCGCTGGACATATAGCGTGGGAGGTTCCACATCGGCTCTCGTCCCGGCGCTCCATCCGTCTGCTTCAACAACGTTTGCCATCAGGCGAGGACCTGGTCGTTCCTCTCTGGCGCAGGATCTCGAACGGCTCCTAGCACCCTCCCCTGAACAAGTGCTGTCGATTCGGGCCAGATTGGACGCGCATCACGCTCGTATGTCTGTCGGGGCGAGCAGTCAGTGGAACGGTGACGAATGGTTAATTTCATACCATCAAACGTTTCCTGACCATCCCGCTGTTGCTGATCACCGGATGGATACATTAGCCGCTTTCTGGGGCCGCTTTCACTGGGATGGCAATCCTTGGATTCAAGGGCCAGACGGCAAGCCCCTAGAGCGGGCCAAATATGCCCGGATACTTCCATGTTCACTGCGCAGTCTGTGCATTCGGCGACTGGGGTCACATGAATTTCAATTTACGTTCCCGTCTCTCGGCGGTACTCCGTCTCGGCATATGCATTGTAAATTACAACGTTGGGCGACTTCGATCCTGCTCTCGTCACCCCACCTTGCTGTCGGTGCGGGACCGGTAGAGCCCGGGCTCGTCTTACGTCATCCACCGCCGTTTCGGCGCGCTTATAAATGGTCCCGGGTACGAGCTGATTTAATTGTCGGGTCCTGTCGGGACCCTGTCGAGTCCGCGAACTCGGCGATTCGCCTCCGCCAAGATGTCAATGGAATCCATTGGTCGATTGACGGGAATTTACCAGAATTACGGGGGTCGCCTCAGCAAGTGTCTAACTACTGGGAGCATTCGTACCATCGTACCTTGGTGTTTCATGCCCACCCGGAGCTTCACCGTTTCCCTTGGAGTGTGCCAGAGACGGTGGCCAATGTAGATGTGTGGACAACGCTTATGAAGCAAGCGTTTCACGTTCATAAACGCCTTCTGCACCCTGGCCTCCAGTCCTGGTTGAAGGCCTATGACGCGCAGGCGGTATCGAATAGTTGGCAGTCAGCTGCATCAAATCAAACGCCTTCCCAAGTTTGGAAACACGCAAACGGGCTAACGGAGTATCAAGTCTGGACATGCTATCGTATCGCGACAAAGCAGCTAAATCTATACCATGCCGGTCGCACGCTGGACAACAGTTGTCGTACGGTGCTGCACTGCCGGGGACGCAAAGAGACAGCGGCGCACATTTTCTGGGAGTGCCCAATCGCGCAAGCGTGTTGGTGTCACTTGATAGGACACTGGACCGGTGGGGGTGCGACGAACGCAGTTCTTTCCACCTTCTTTCAGCACTGCGCCAATCGCAAAGCCCCGCCCATTCCACGTCAGCTGAGTTTGCGGTTGCAAAGCCGTTTTCAAGATGACTCTGACGCCGCAGCAACAGAATTCGAACGGATCTGGTTCATATTAAGCTCCATCTGCCAAGAACATTTGTGGACCGAGCGGAACTCGGCGGTCTTTAGAGGAGCCGTGACTACTCCATCCGCAAGTGTCCAAATGTACTGGACACGCGGTGTTCGCCAGCTACGGGCAATTGCAATACGCGAGCATCGAGCCGCGGCTACGGCCGTACGAGGGGCCCGACTTCATGCCTGTCTTGAACTTCTGATTCAAGAGCCCCGTGGACACCCGCCCTACGCGGGTGTCAGCCACGATCCGCTGCCGCGACCGGCGCTCATATCCTGGCTCAGGATTTTTCAGACCTCTTGTCCACATTAAATATGTCAATAGATTATCATGAAACTCCTCCTCCACATGTGGATCAAACTTTGCGCAAGTTGCCATAGTCGCAACTCTCGAGATACAAACATAGTGCAGTAAAAAGGGTCAGCAGATAGTCGCGCGTGTTTATGAGATGCAGACAAGTGCGACGTCATGCTTCCATGTATCCAACGTAAGCCGTGCGATCAGAAGAAAGTATCGATCTAGCAGCCGCTTGCTACTGCTTATAGTTCCACTTGGAAGTTTTCTCGCACCACGCAAGAGGATTCGATGACCCTGAGCTCGTCTGTGCTACTTGTACGATGATCTGGATTTAGCGTGTTGTACGTGGACCCAACTATACCCCACCTTCTCACTCACTACTTGTACGACGGTCCGATCTCGATGTAGCCATGTCACGAAGCGTTACCTGACCCATTTCGCGTACATTCACACAACATCGTATGCGAGCCATTCGTGACCACAGATGCCACAGAGCCCATTTGCCTATTTGGAAGCTCAAATGTATGCGTAACTTCGTGATGATCCATCCGCATCGGCTTTACTTCGGTTTGGGGTAGTGACGTGCAGCTCGCTGCGTTCTTGTCACTTTGCCCTTCATGTATAAGCCTACATCAAAAGCCCACTCTCGATGTGCCAAGCGGTAAGCAGTCAAAACACCATCACTGCTCTCCAGCACCTGTAGAGTAACAGATTCACACGCTTCAATGTGTTGACCTTTCGTCATCGCTATTGCTGCCACGGCATCCGCATTGCCCTTGTCACACGTCCTTCGTCAGTCAGTTCAGCGTCGGCTATATAGCTTCTCGGTCGATCCGCACTGACGCGAGGAGCGCGTGTGCTTGAGCAGCAACGATGCTTGTGTCGTGCTAGGCGTAATCAAAGACCTAGAGCAGCGTCAGCATAAAGCTGTTCATCTTGATCGCTACAGTAGCATGCATTAGGGCAGAGACGTACTTGATAAACGGCTCGAGCTGCTTGATTGTCCACTTCTCCTGCATCTCAAACAGCTGCTCGAAGCGCTTCTTGGGTTCAGGCGACAGCTCCTCTTCAGGAAAGTACACAATTCGAGATGCCTTCCCTGTCGAGTGAGGTTTCACCAGTACAAGGCCGCTAAGCATATCCAGAGTCACGGACACGCTATCAGGCACACGAAGCTTCCACTTTTCCATAAACGAGTCCACTTCCCAGCCCACGTCCGTGGCAGTCAACGCCACGTGCTCCTGCGCAGCCTGGAACTTTGCCTCTTCTATCTGCTCGTCGAACAGCGACTTGGCTCGGAATACAGCAACCTTTACTGGGTCCAACGTGCAACGATCCTCTCCATTCATCGACGTCAGCCGACCGTACAGCTTACAACATTGACGGATGACCACCAACGGCTCGTCCAGCTGAGTCAGGAACCATGCCACAGGTACCCCTGGCTCCGACAACGCGTCCAAGTCGTGTTGCACGATGGTATCCAGCATATCTGCAACTACTTGAGCCTGGTACGCCGGTTTCACAATACGCCATGTACCTGCTTCTTCAAAAGCGTGTATCTCGTCCAGCATCGTCAGCACCTCCTGCTCGCTCACTTGCAACGCATCCACCAAGTCTCTCGTCGTGTACAGCGTGTGCAACTTTGTGCGCTTCGCTTCAGACGCAGCAGCATCACGCCGAGGCTTGTCATACGGTGCTTCCAGCAACAGAGCCCGCAGCAGTGTCGCATCAGGAGCCTTGTGCTCAAGCTGTATCGATCGCAAGGCCCTCCAGAAGTAAGCACAAGTCCTTTGTATATCGTCCGTCACAACAAAGTCAATGGACTTACCAGGTAATGGAATCGAGCAGCTCCCGCTACTTGAATCGTCCTCTTGTCCGTTGTCTGCTCTGGTCCACTCCAGTCTGTGTGGGTCGTGAGAAGACGTAAATTCGAAGTGTCCTCCTTTGTGATATAGTACGATTGATCCGCCGTGCACAAAACCGCTCGAGCATCTGGTGCCCCTACGATCACCACCCTGGAGTACATGTGGACAGTAGACGACATTAGTCGCTGTTGCAATGTCCTATCCGTCGCTTTCTTTCCGCTATCAATGACGGAAGCAAAACAAGCAAACAGACAAACAGACGAACGTACTTGGAACCAGTCGTGGCAGCTCGCTCGATCTCGGGGTTCAGCTGCAACAGTTTGTACTTGTCCTCGTTGAAGTCTGCAGCCGTGACAAGAACGGAATCCATGGTGGCCGCGGCAGGAGACGAAAATGACTATAGAGAGAGTTCCGAGTAAGTACGAACCGACTTTGTAGGGGCGAGCGACAGCACGTGGTGCCAAAACGTGCACCAGCGCCTTGTCTTCGAGCAATGGCTTCGAGCACGTCTGTCTACCTACCGGCAATGGACGAGGGTCTCAACGACAGCTTCCAGTCTTTCTTCAACGTCTTGACTCTCTCTTTCACCAAGTAGTTCCCGAAGTGCAGCAGCGTCCAGCACGCGTTTCAGTTTCAGTAAGTTAGGCAATATCCTGAGCTCCAGTAGTAGACATGCTGCGCTGCCCAGCTGATCTACGAGCATGCTTAACAGAGTAATGACCAGTCTCAAAACTTCTGCGTACTCGAGCGTACTAACCACTGAAGTCGATGAAGTAGTCGATGACTCGTTAGTGGTGGCTCGAGGCGGTGTCGGCTCAAGTAACTCCATCACCAAGTCTTTCAACATGGGTAGCAACCTCCCCAACTGAGCCTCAAAGACCTCAACACGTCGTTGACTGAAATTCAGCAGCAGCACGAGTGCATACACCCGCAAGTTCGACTCTTTCTCTGACAACGGGGCCGTCGCTCTCGCTTGTTGCGCTACTCGTCCTCCCATCGCGTCCTCTCCATCAGCTCCACGCTTGACGTTGGACGGCAACTTGACATTCCGGTGCAAGCACTTGACCACTGTCGGCAGCAAGGCAGCAATCGTCGTCAACATGGCTTCGTCGGCAATCACGACCATCCACCCGAGCACAAAGAAAGCATCTCCTTGCACCCAACGTTTGCAGCTTTGCACTTCAGAAGCACATCCCGTGCATTGAGCGCTGCAACGACGCGGTCCAAGTGCACCTTTCGCGCATTGTTTGCTGCTCCGTTTGACTCCTCTCGACTTGCACTTGTCTGCGATCGCACTACGGCAGTGCCCGAAATGACGAGCAGCCGTCGGATCTCCATACTCATTCTCTCAAGTGGCAGTGCCGCAATGTCCGTCAACGCCTATACAAACAGCTGCTTTGCGGGCCCGTCGTCGCCCTGCGTGACGTCCCATTCCAGCCAAGTCTGCAGCTGCTTGACGTACGAAGTCAGCGTGGCGTGTTTCATGTTACTTAAGAGCCACACTTCGAAGCAGTAGGTCGTATACACGCAGGTCGACTTTTTGTGTCGTGACAAAGAAAAGCCACAGTCCAACGACCCAAAGTAAGCGCAGGGAAAACCAGCGGCGACCGCGTTGGTCGACAGTTTCGACTCCGGTGCCAGAACTAAAGCGCCAGAAACAAGATGGGCGCAAAAAGGCACGCGCCCTTCCGGTCCAAATATGGCGTGGAACTCGCCCTGCGGGTCAGGGACCGGGACCCCGAGACGAACGAGGTGCTCACCGCCACGTGCATGTTTTGCCAGTCGTTTGGACGCGAGAACAAAGCTGGCGCGCTGCGGCGCCCGACGGACAAAGTCGCGGTGTTTAAGCCTCCGTTCCGCAAAGACGCGATCCAGATCCACCACGTGGGACAGCACGCAGCGCGATGGGCCGCGTACTGCGCTCTCTTAAGTGACGATACCCGACGGGCGTTCTTTACTTCAGCAGACGAGGCACCCGATGGTGTCGCGTTGTTGTCCACGGAGACGAGCGGGCGACCGGTGAAAACCACTCGACGGGCGCCACATTCAGTTTCAAAGTCAACTTCAACTTCAAGAGACCGCGGGCATCAACGACATGTACCGGTAATGCCGCAACCGCTAAGGCCGACAAGACATTGGGTGGTCGACCGAGACATTGTCACGGTCGTCATCGGTACGTTCGTGCCACACGCCTCGGCGGTAATCACTGCTGGACGGACGTACCTGTTGCATGCAGTCGCTGATTTTCAGGATCTGGTGGACGAGACCGAGTCGGGCAATGACCACCCGGCAGCTGACAGAACCGCTGCGAGGTTTCGCATTGTCGTGGCACACCCGACGCAGTTTCAGCAGTTTATCGATCTCCTCAGTGCAAGTGAATCACTGACGACTTCGGCAACAATGTTGCGACAACAAACGAGTAAGGAATCAGTGCCTGGAAGTCCATCGCTCGATACGGAGGGAATGGAGTCACTTTTGCACGTTGCTGACAGGTATGCGCGATTCCTCTGTGCGATCAATTTCCAGCAGATGGCCGATATTGTGAGTAGTACCGGCGTGCGCTCAATCGGGTTGCAGGTCGGGCCCATGGCACCCGCGTTGGTCGGTGAAACGCAAGTACTGTATTGTGTGCACTTGCAGCTTCGTGTGTTTGCCAACGGAGAAGTTACGAGCTTTCACGTCCTGTCGATGCTAGTGGATGACTGCCATTCGTTGGCCACAGACGGCTTGGGTCGTGTTTTTGACACTACGGAAGCAGTACTTGACGTGATCGTACCGCGATGGCAAGACCTCGTGCTTGCCGTTGTCATTGAGACCGAAGGTACCATGGATCACGAGGCAGGCGATCTACGGACCGTGCTGTGCAACGCAGCGATCGGTCGCTTTGAGCCTGTGTTGAAGCCTGGGTCGTTGAAGCTATGCTGTGCTGCTCGACAGCTTGATTCGCTCATGCAGAGCTTCTTCAGCGAGATCGTAGGCGGTGAAGCGATTTACACGAAACTCACGACCTTGGTCGCATACGTGAGTCGGCAGCGCGCATTGCTGAGTACGATCAAGACGGACGCTCCAGCTATTGGCGACAATCGATGGAGATCCATTGCCAGTGTCACGATGTGGTTTCGGCGCTACAGCGCAAGTATCCGGGCGCACCTTAAGACCCATCGGGCGACTTGTTCACCTCCAGACACGTGGTGGATTCGCGTGATCTTGGCGGCACGAGTCAGCCAAGAAGTTTTGCCAATTTTGCTCGAGATGTCGAGTTTCTCTGCAGAGACGCTGTTTCGTCGGGATGCTGTTGTCAAGCTACGTGCGTTCGTGATTGACTGGTTCAGCATCTCTGGACCACCGGAAAGTAATAAGTCAGCTGTAGCAGCCGGCACAGGTCGATCCGAAACAAATACTTTGGTCGTTTCACAGGATGGCAAGTACTCCGTCAGCATCGGCAATGTTTTTGCAGCACTAGAAGATCTGGGATCATCCACTGCCGACATCTTACGTGCTACCAAGAGCGAGGACGATCGCATACAGGCACTGTTCGAAACTACGCTGAACGACACAGCTGCCAGTGTCGTCGGCCTTGTTGCGGGTCTAACTTCAGTCGTAACTGGCATGGATGGCGTCGGTGCCATGGTGTCACGTTTGCCTGCTGTATTGCCTCAAGACCTCGTAAACCTGCGTGGGCGACAATTTACAGCGGCCGTTCTGCCTCAAATGGAGCGGCTTCGTGTTGCAGGCTGGACGCCGCAAGAGATTGAATGGATCGAGCAGGATTTCCAGGACCTGCGTGGTGCCTACTTCTGCGAGGCGTCTCTCAAGCTGGCACTGGCATCGTGCGTCAACAAGCATTCAGTTCATGATTCGTGGGGTTGTCTCCAAGGTCGATTCACGCATTTGCGGCGCTTTTGCGAACTGATGGCGACTGCGTATCCCCGATCAGTGGTGCCCTTCACGACATCCACAATGGATCCACTTCCGGCTGCACGTCGGTAGCCATAGCACCAACCACCACGACGTTATTCGAGAACTTGAAGACCGGAGTCTCCGACCTTTCGGTTCAGGCTGTGCTCCAGGCCAAACAGTTTCGAACGCTGCAGGCTGTGAGACTGCAGAGGTAGGAGGCCGCACAACCGCATCTCGGGAACGAAACAATGTGGACAAAGTTCATGTCGTGTCGATACAAGTACAAGTCAATGCTGCAGTGATCCGCCGACGTATCTCGTATGGATTCAGCCATTTTGTAAGGCTCGTTGAGGTTCCCATCCCTTCACGCGCTCGGATCCCATGATGCGACAATGTGCCTCCCACAAACACTGGCGACACAGCAGGTGGACACAAGCTCAAGGTCTCTGGCCAGCACGTGTCCGTATCAGATCAACAGCTTGCGCGGGCCGACGGACTTTGGCTCTTCAGCCCTCAACGTCATTAGTCGGCCGTCTCGCGAGCTCAGCAACTCGACGATGATCACGCTTCCACAGGAAGACTCGACGCAAGAAGTGGACGTGCCCGGTGAGATTGTCCACATTCAGGCCGTGAAGATGGCGCGTCGCTGTGGCTGCACTGTCTCTCTTGGCGAGCAGAAGCTGCTGTACACGCTCCGCAACGCGAGCTACTTCCGCTGCATTTGGGTCACGCCCCGTGCCTTGCAGGACCACATGGTGCACCATTACGACCGCGAGATCCGCTACCTCGTGAGCGACTGCATGGACTTTGAGACCCCTGAGGCAGCCCATCGGCCTAGTGCCAGTGCACCCGCCAGTGCTACTGGGGCCTTCTGGGTCGACGGCATTGACTTTGACGAGAACGCCAAGACCCCGGGCACGCCTTTGACAGACTACAAGGAAATCGCTGTTGTCGTGTGACACCGCTCGAAAAGACGAGTGTGTACAAAGTATTTAACGCGAATAGAGCGAGTCAGCCGTCTCTACCAGCATCGAGTGCGTGTTGCTCGACGGGTCGACTTCACGCTGTCATGACGGGCACGCGAGATTGGCCTCGTCACTGCATAGTTCTTCACGCTGAGTTCAGGTCCGTCAATGAACCTGAACTGAAAGTGTGGAACTGTTGTTGATGTTGTTGATGTTGTTGTCTCGACTATGTGGTATCTCGCTGCTGTGCCAATGCTGTAGGTGCGGGCGTCGAGACATTGACACGGACTAGCGAAATCGACGCGGAGAAGAACGGATTAGTGCTCGAGGTCGACTGCTGCAACAGGTTCTCATTGAGACCAGCAGGAGTTCTTGCAGCTCACCTCTGGGTCGCGCCATGCAACGTGGTCGAGCCACGACTTGTCGCTTGTGAGGTCTGGCAAGACGGCAGTGTACCGCGTGACAACGAGCAAGTACTGCCTGCTGCGTGACGTGAAGATGCAGCGAAGACGCGTCGAGACCTGTATGTTTTGTCGGCAGTGCTCGGGCCAGGCTTTTGATGGTGTGAAGGTGTCGACAGTCAAGTGTCGGTGCACTGGACAACGCGCGTGGTATCATTCAAACGTGACGAGTTCCGCTTCGACGGGTGATGACGAAGACGATGTTGGAAGCGGAAGAAGCCGTCAGCAGAGGTGTCGACAAGCAGGTGCAGCAGTCTGTCAGACATGTTTCAGACACCACCTTGTCAAGCGTGTCGTTGATGTCTTCTTGTGACCGCCCGTCGTAGATGCCCAACGTGTGCACTTACCAAGCAGAGTGTCAGCGTGCGTGAGCCTGGACGTATCTTTCGGTGACACGTGAACAGAATGGTAAAGCTCGGAAGTGGAGCGCCTGGCGCATGAGCGATTCGAGTAGCAATCGATTGAACTCATTCCGGGCGAACGCTTGTCAGATTCGTCAACCATTTCTCAACTTGACGGCCTCATGTCCAGCTCAAGCTCTTGCTTGGGCTCCACGACGTAGAGCGTACGTCTTGCGTAGTGCTACGAACAACAGTCCGAGAAACGATCGGCTATTGTCTGTCGCCATGACGACGTCAAGGGACCGCTTGTCAACTGGTCGAGTCGTGTCGCACGTGCTGTCCTGACTGTCCATCTCTTGTCGTCGGTCTTGTTCGAAGAACGTTCTGAGACGTCTGCTACAGATATACTTTTCAGGCATTTTGCACTCCTTAGACGTTGTAAACAGATGATCCTGAACCCCCTCCTCCTGCTGCTGTAGATATGGAACGGCGTGTGCGTGACAAGTGCTCTGTTGTTAACTGACAATAGGACGCCACCAACGGATCCATTACGCAAAGTACGACGACAAATGGTTCGTACGGGCTCGTCCAGCAACTGGACGGCCGCAGGAACAGAGTGTTGTGATCGAATGTGGAGAGAGAACGGGATGGAGGGAGAAGGAAAGAGAGAACGGAATGGGATGGGACGGATGACAAGGATGATGTGGTGTGTGTGTGTGTCTGTATGCGTGCAGGACAGTAAACTGCCGACTGTATACCTGCTAAAGAAGCACTACTTGGACATCGTGGACGACGACTGGATCATGGACGCGCTGTCGGACGATGGTAGCGTGTCTGTGTTGGCAAATTGGCGACGCAGTTATCGTCTTTTGTGTCTCATTGTTGACTGGACGTGCAGACATGGATGTGCCTCCTTCCTCGCTCGAGCTTGACCCAGAGAATGGCAGTGATAGTCCGTCCGGTGAGTCAGTCGTCACGACCTGGTAATTTCGTGACGATGTCTGTATCTCAACCTCCCTCACTTGCCATGTGCGTTTGCTGTCTGTCGGACTCAGATGAGCCTCCGATGTGGACTGCTGACGGAAAAGTGACTCGCTGGAACGATTTGGGCCTGGATCAGTGGGTCAAAGACACAGCGTAAGGGGGGCGATTGGATCGGTGGGGTACCAAGAAGCTGCGCGAATCTAAGCAAACAGTTGCTCACTCCGACTCTGACGAAGTCTTAGTGTGATCTTGAAGTCTCTCTCAGGCGTACGTCACGGAGCGCCACGAATACATCATTGGAGGTAAAGCAATAGCTTAGCACCGCAACGTCGCTGCTCCAGTGTTCTGCCTACAAAGTCCTCTCGAGTATTACAACTTGACTTGGAGCCAGAGCCAACGCCATAGTGCTTTTGAGCGGTCGACACCCGTTGGTCCTCGCCCAAATGTGCTCGATAGCTACAAAGCGTCATGCCGTGCTTGACCATGGATGGTTCGATGATGGACTACCACGACCGACATGTTAGCATCACCGGCAATACAAATAGGTCTCAAACTTGTTCGGCGCAGGTTCGTCGACACGCACGTTTTGCTTAAATGACTTGTACGAAGCCGAAGACAAAGCGTCTGCGGCAAATGGGGCATATGCTCTGGAGATCAGTGCAACGGGGTGAGCCCGTTCCATAAAATTGATACGAATGTATCAATTTTTGAATATTATCTATTTCGATAATAATCAATCAACATATCCCCGAGGGTGATATTCGTGGGTGCTTCACTTATTGGTTGATGTACGTGTACATCAACTAATTTAACCATCAATCGCTGCTGGACGCGCGCAATGGGTGGTGAGCAAGAAACCCACATAGGATATTGTAGTTCAATATAGTTAGCTCAAAACAAAGATGGTTATTAAGAAACATAACTATATGAAATACAGTTCTACTTTTCCGCTTAAACAGAGCTTCCGAGCTCTGTTCACTTCCTCGCGCTTCCTCACGCTACGTGCACGTGACGTCGGGAGCACGCAGACTTGTATAATATTATCACAAGGCCTTAACAATAATCTGATAAGAGCGTGCTTCGTTACAATCAGTCCATGTCCGTGCAGGAACTGGTCAGAAACTCACAAACGAAACAGTCAAAGCTACATCCCGACACCCTACCTACACGAAAAGCGGATGCATGGGATACGCGTACAACAAACTCAGAAGATGTGCAGAATGCTAGCTAGCGCTAGCATTCTGCGTTATGATTGCGCTACAAGTAGACTTAGCTGTATCCGACTGTTGCGGCATCATGTGCGTGTTTGTCATTCAGAGCCTGTGCTGAAGCGACACAACCACAGAGTGCCGCCAATGTGCACCCTATCTGTGACTTCTAACGATTGGTCTAAAAAAAGAAGTGCGACAATGCTTTGAGCTGTTGTATAGACCTGTCGATAATGCAAAGCGTCTGAGACTCAGACAGAAGCTTGCAACGTGTAAAAATGCCACTCGCTTATTAGCGCAAAGCACACGTATTGTACAGCCAAATTGTTGCACAAACAGAAGGTGTTTTGTGACGTCACCATTTCACGCTCGCGCCTCGTTGGATTGTTATGAGCCAGCAGTTTACCTGGCACCAGCTATCACCATGTGACTTCGTGCGCGTACAAAAAGAGCTCAACGGCCACGATAGGCAAACCGAAACTCCGCGCTCCATCTCATGTCCCTTTCTTTTCCAACGGAGAATAGGAATGCGTATTTGGCGCACGATACACGGCTTCGTGTCATGCAATACTCGACATCACTTCGTCTTGTTTCTTGTCAATATTTTTCGGCGTTGTGTTCAGTGTCTCCAGCGTGACGTTTCTACGTGGTTCAATGATGTAACTTTGCATATCCGGTCAATCTCATTCTGGTATCGTTTTGGCTTTACAGAAAAAGATAGATGTCAGTAACGTTCAGGAAATGTGATTAGGCAGCGAACGCATGATGCTGCTTCCTATTGATCGAAGAAGAACGTATCGTTTAATTTCCTCGTTGAGTTGACGAGTAACGGTCATACGTGTTTGTATAAGTTGACGATAACTACAGATGCTTCGACTAATGATCGAATGGATATCTGCTGAAGGGCTCAAATGTGCTAAAGCTCGCGATTTTGCAATGCCAATGTTATGCTTGATAGTATAGAAACACAGGCGCGAGTATACAGAAAAGTTCGATGGTGCAATCGTCTTTGAAACGGGGACCCTCCGCTTGTTATAATACAGCACAAGCTATCTACCCTTGCACACTGAAGGCATGTGCCTAGGTCCTCTCTTGTACTACTATACGTGCAGAGGAAGTCTGGATCTCCTGAACGAACGCGTTGAGAAGAAGGAAAAAGCAGAAGTGCATTGAATATGGCTTACGGTTTCTGATTAAACCTCTTTGATGAACTTGCCTGAACAATGATAACGATAGCCTCCTTATGTAGCAACTCCTTCAGCACCATCGCGCGCGTCTTGTAGCGATCATGGGTAATGGATCCGGTTGACATAATGGACTATATCAAGCAATGAGTGAGGCAATGCTGAATACCACCTGTAAAAGTATTTTCCGTCAGTATTTCCTCCGTACAATAAATATTGGTGAATGTTGTCACTAAGGATAATACTCACATAAACCCAATGTGGTGTCAATGACATGCAACATAATCACCCCGTGACAGGCCCTTGGCTGGCAGAGGGACCGATCGGGCCAAAGGAGCTTGTTGATAGGCTACTATGGGTGTGTGATAAAAATGAGAATGAATTGAATGCTAGCGGTATCGCGTGGCGCTCTATAGATAATCTCTACTGCTAATATGTGTATCCTGAGCGCTCGCTGTGTACTACGTCCCATGCGCGTGGGATCATACTGACTGATTCTGGTCTGGTTGGTCATGATATTGTAACGGGGCACGCTTTTGCTCAGATAACTGAGCAAGGCCTTGTATTGATAACAATGCAAGGGAGTGTACGCCCAACGTCACATACACGTGGAGTGAGGAAGCGCGACCACGACAATGCAGAACCCAAAAGCTCTGTCTTGAGGGAAAAGTAGAACTGTTTTTGAATATAGTTATTTCCTTACAAAATTATTTTTCGTCTTAATCTAACTATACTAAACTACTGTCTCCTATGTTGGTCTTCTATCCACCACCCATTGCGCGCGTCCAGCAGCGATTGGTGGTTAAACGTGGTTGATGTACACGGTGCATCAACCAAGAAGTGGACCCCTCCACGGATATTACCCTTAGAGGTAATATTCCGACAACATCGCTTTTCTCGAGTGATGTTGATTGAATACTATCAAAATAGATATTATTCAAAAATTGATACTTTCGTACCAATTTTAATGTAACGGGCTCACGCCAGTACCGATATGCAATGGGCTGACAACTGGTCGGACCAGGTTGAAGTGGAGATGACGTATCAGTAATGTCACCCGTGACAGTGAGATTTAGTACACCCGATATGCCGGATGAGTGCTCTAGACCCACGTACGCAGTTGACGGAGATTTTCCTAGCGATCTTTTGATGGCATTCGCGTCACCGATGCATGTCGTGAGGTAGACGATGCTCTACAGCTTGCTGTAGAGCACTGCACACAAATTTGTATTGCTTCGTCGTTAAACTTGTGGTTGAACATCAGTACAAATGATTGACGACAATTCACACCTGCGTAAAACACTAAACGACCAACTGGCCTTTGGCATGTCGATTCATCTAGATCAATTGTGGACTGAGCTCTGACTCGAGCTCGCGATCAAGCAAGTCTATCTGCGACGCGTACTTAGCCAACCTACTACTCACATGATTCACGCGTTTCAGAAGGATAAATTGGCAATTAAGGTGCCGTTTCAACACAAGGACAGCTACTTCTCACTATTGAACCGCTCTTGCCACACTGTTACGGGGTACCGACGACTACGTACTGGTCAACCAGTACGGAGTTTTTTTATCACTTACTGTGATGATAGTCATTGCCCAGCTAGGTGTAGAACTACACAGAGGAAGGTAGACCGACTAAGGTGAAAGACTCTAGTCGTAGGAAAAGTAAAACTGCTATTAATATAATTAAGTCTTATAACTCTTGTATCTCTGTTCGTCCTAACTTAATTATACGAATGTAATTAAATGTATAGTGACGTCTACTCACCCCCATTGCGCGCGTCTAGCAGCGATTGGTGGGTAGATATCATCACGATATCAACCAATGAGTAGACCCTTCGGTCATCTTCAACAATATCATCATGCTATGTAATATTGTTGAAAGAATCTTCATCGTAATATTCTATATTACAATTTATCCTTAATGACAATATCATATAACGGGCTGCCCCGTTACATCACCCCCCGCCCTTAACTGATAGTCACCGTGTGACTATCGAAAATATGGCGGCCATTCGTTGGCCACCATTGGGACCGGGAGCACTTGTTGGGTCCGTTCCATTCACTTTCCGCTTGACCTCGCATAGTTAAAATGTCTATGCGAGGTGACTCAAGACCTACACAGCCCGGTGCTGTGCCAGCTTCTGCGGCAGGCGATTCGTCGTCTGCTGCTCGTTCTTCGCCTGAAGCAAGAGGTGCTGCAGGTGCACGCGGTAGAGCACCGCGTGCGCATGATGACCCCGATATTGAGGTCATCTACTCTGGCAAATCAGACGTGTCTGACTCGGGCAATGCTGCAGAGGCGTCTCGCTCACCGGAGATGCCTCAGTGTTCGCCATGACCACTGCCGAACGAACGGACTCGTGAGTTGCATCACAGTATGTTCGGCAGTGATGATGAAGGTGATCATGGTGAGGAGTATTACACCTTACCACCGCCGACTCGTGCCTCTTCGCACGAGAGTGATGACGATGGCGTGAGCCGTCGTCAATCTGGGAACCGTGGTACCGACAAGGGTACCAATGTGAAGCGTGATGAGTTGAAGCCGTGGCGTTTGCCCGAACAGCTCATCAATAGCCTGTCTCACGAGACAGGCCAACACCATCGAATACCCTTATTCGATGCAACAGAGCTTCACGGCTTGAGTCCCAGTGCGAAGAACTTTCGCGCTGAAGAAGACTTTTATCTCGATGTCTTCCTTAGACATCGATGGTGCAATGGCAACCAAAAACATGACGAGGCCTCGCTTTTGGCTGCGTAGA